CTGCAAAAGTTGCAAAGGCTCACTTTTCCCTAACTGTCACAGTCGGTGACAACCAACTTTTCCCTGGTTTTGTTGTGAAAACCAATTTTTTCTGGGGAAAAGATGGTTTTGGTGTGAAAAACCAACTTTTCCCTAGGAAAAAGATGGTTTTGGGTGGAAAACGAACTTTTCCCTAGGGACAAAATGGTTCTGGTGTGAAAAACCAATTTTTCCCTAGGAAAAAGATGGTTTTAGGGTGAAAAACAAATTTTCCCTAGGGAAAAGATGGTTTTGGTGTGAAAAACCCATTTTTCCTCAGGAAGAACCATAAAGAAAACATCTTTTGGAAATTCGGCCGTATAGTTTCCCAAAAGATGTTTTTTTTTGTTTCCCTAGGAAAAGGTTGGTTTTTCACCCAAAACCATCTTTTTCCTAGGAAAAGGTTGGTTTTTCGCCCCACAACCATCTTCCCCTAGGGAAAACCAACAAACCATCTTTTTGGAGTCCAGCCGTATAGTTTCCCAAAAGATGGTTTCTTTGGTTTTTGTTTGGTTTCCGCTAGGAAAAGTTGGTTTTTGATTGGAAGAGTACAGTGTTGCTGTGAAGTATGTGCTCACGTCGATCTTGAACCAGTTGTTCGGCGGGTGGTTTGTGATTGGAAGAGCACAGTGTTGCCGTTGAGTGCGTGCTCACGTTGAACCTGAACAAGTGTTTTAGCACGTTCTGTTGAAACGTCAGCTTTGGTTTGGCAGTCTTTGCGAGATGCAGAATCTGGATCTGCCGGAAAATAGCTGTTTCAACACGGTATTTACTATACAAAACGAGGGTGGGGAACAGCTTATGGGTAATGTTAAGTTTGCGAGTAAGGTCCATCTTGGGGGGGGGGGGGCTGCAATATCCTTACTATCAGGGGGCCAGTCAAACTGATGTATGTGATTGTATTAACCTTGTATTAGCCTTCAGCTCTGCATGAGAGTTGATATGGGGATGTATACATAATGGGGTTACATGTCGACATAACATGTTAAGCCATACGAACTAAGACGTGAATCTATAAGGCACCATTTTGGGTGAAGATCAAGTGGAAGACTACTGTTACCATTGGCGCCAATGTAAGGTCCAATGGCATGGGTAGTCTTAGGACAGTGTTGTTTAGGAATAGGAGTCCGTCAGTGCTCACGGTCATTCATACCTACTGCTGGGGCTTGGATCTGAGACTGTAGCGAAGGCTACGTTAGGAGTTAATTCTCGTGCCCATATTGAGCTACGGGTATTCCGACAGACATGACTTTCATCGTTGGGAAATCATATGTCAGAGTATCTTTGTGAAGGGTCAGATCAATTGAGAATGAAGGCGGCTGCCGATATAAATATGCTGTCCGCTCCGAACTTCAAAATCTAAGACTAAGCCAAGATCATACATTAGAAGCCTAAACCTAGGAGGATTGGTGGCGCTATCGCGGCACCTCCGCGGTAGTTCTTCGGGGGGGGATTAGCATATATATATATATATACATAAATATACTTGTGTACACGTAGTCGGTGCATAAAGGTATCTATATATATATATAAATTTCTCTCTCTCTCTCTCTCTTTCTCTCTCTCTCTCTCTCTCTCTCTCATTTATAAGATAACATTGCTTCGAAACGTGCCTTGAAGCTTTACTACATACAGCTTTCATTCTGCATTAACCCTCGGACTTTGAACAGGCCCCATCTGAATTCTAGAGAGGAAATCTTTTGGCGGATGCACTCATCGGACTCTGTTGCGCTGGACTGAGAGTCTGAGATCTTGGTACTTATCTTTGATGATCCTGGGAAGTGTGTGGTAGAGGGCCATGTCGAAGCGCTGTCTGCCCCAACAATTCAAACTCAGCTTTCGGGTTTAGGGCTTAGGGTCTACGGTTAAGGCTGAGGGTTGAGGCTTCGGCGAAGAAGTCAACAGGGTTAGGGTTCAGGGCGAGGTGAAGAAGTCAACATGTGCGTGCTTGGAGCAGGACGTTCTTACCCCCCCCCCCAGCCCCCCACCCGCAGCCAACCTCCTGAAGCAGTTGGACCCGCGATCAAATAAAGGTGTGTAGGGTTACCCTACACTACTACTACTAACACGGCGGCGACTACGACGACTACTACTACTACTGCTGCTACTACTACTACTATTACTACTAATAGTAATAGTAATACTTGTTCAATAATAGTGGTAGTAACCATAATAGCCATAGTAATGACAATAACGATAATACGCATCAGATGGAGAAGGAATACTGATAATTATTGAGAATGTTGAAGGGAATACTTTTCCATTTTCTGCTTTTAGTAATAATAACAGTAATAACGATAGCGAGACTACAAACAACAACACAATATAGTAATAGCAATGATTATATTAGTTGTACGAAAACCAGCAAGAAGAGCAAGTGTAGGACACAACATACCAGAGTACCAGATAATTTCACGTAGCATAACATAGCACAATCAAGGACAGCATAGCATAGCATAGCATAGCATAGCATAGCATAGCATAGCATAGCATAGCATAGCATAGCATAGCATAGCATAGCATAGCATAACACAGCAAGACAAAGCATAGCAAAACATTGCATGATGTGGCATAGCGAAACAGAACAAAAGATAACATAGTATTATAAAATGGAATGGCTTGATATAGCGCAAAGACAACATCATCTAGTAGCCAGACAGAACAGTGCATCACCCAATATACTGCAAAGGGATACGGTGCAATATACCGTGCTATATGATGTACTGTGAGATAAACCATCAAATAAATACAATGTCATATCCCACAGGTTGAAAAACAGTTACCGGCATCTGCTCCGGTTGGCCTGGTGATGGTCTGAACTTGCTGATGCGCACACCCTGCAAGGTGGGAACTTGAACTCCGAATCCTGCATCAACTCTGCGGAGCAGCTCATGGATGGTACTACGGTGGCTACCCAGTACTATCAGACACTGGGATCCAGATAGTCGAGATGGTAGCAATGGTCTCACCAATGACCATGAATCTCATGTCCCCAAACAGTCCCATGACTGCACCCGATGGCTTCAATGTCAATTCCAGGAGATACAAGCGTGACAATGACAAGGAGGCCAATCGGGCATGGAGAAAGGATGTGGATTGGAGGTAAGCGTGTCTTCAGGATTCAGGAGATCTTTGCAGTAAGGATCCCTTGACGGGGTCCTGGTATTCAGAGAACGCAGCAAAGGAGCTCGAGAAAGTGCCAAGCTGCGAAGTAGAAGTGTTGCTTCAGAATGACATGCTTTTCAGAGCTGGGCAACTAAACAATCACATCCAGTGTCGCGATTGGATCTGGGCCGAGCCCCGGGCTCTAGAGTATGGAGAAAGAAGCAGCCACTCCGGGAGCTTTCCGACGTTGACGAAGTTGCCTTTGTGGTTGGTCGGTGACATTGCTCACCGGCACTTCAAGCACCAAGCTTGTGAACATGGCTGGTTGGGGTCCCAGAGCAAGTAGGGAGACTCTGGGCCAGTGGATGCGGGGACAGCATGTGGGTCGCGGCTAGACTGGCACCTGCTAAAGGACCAAGGTTCCCGTCGACTTGCTTCATACTTCGAGTCCTGAGGAGAAGCGCCCTGTCGCTACGGGGTTGGGTTTTCGGAGAAGCGCTCGAAAGAATTCCTAAGCAGGGCAAGGACCTAACCATCCTCACCAGCCTCTTTAGGACGCGGGACGAGGCGTGCGTTTCGGCGCTCCCAATGCGGTGCGGCGCGAACCGCCGCACATCGGGCAATACTCTTGCTGTTTTCGTGGCCTGGCGACGTCTCCTCGCGTTTAGAGCTGTGAGGGCGCGAAAAGCGAGATTTTCGCTTCTCGAATTGTGGGTTACTAGTATGGAGCGTGAAACTCCCGTCGGATGACGATGATGATGATGGTGACGATGGTGATGGCAATGCTGATGATTGTTTTTACCTACAGTATACTTCTTCATGTGTACAAACTACAGTTTGTTGTACCGTTACTCGCTGGCTCAAGTACGCAAAAATTCCGTGCGTTCTGCTGTTAACAACAGGTTATCAGTCGTAGGTAACTTGTGCAATGGATGCCAACGCTCCCCCTAATCCTGCAGGAATGTCAGTACCCGAGGATGACATAACAGGTGACATCGATACGGAGTCCGCCCGTTCCCGTTCGGTCCCGGGCGCAGAGCTTCCTATCGTCCCTGCCCGGGAGGGCCAGGCTGCGCTTACTGAAGCGGCACTACGAACCCATGCTGAAGTAGTATATGCTCCTTCTATTGTACCGTATGGACCTAGTGTTTCACCTGGTTCCATGACACAGGCACCATCGCACAACTCCATATATGCCCCAACTATGGCACCTACTTTAGTCTCCCAAACCTACAATCAGCAGAACAACATGTTCATGCCGAATGATACTGGGTTGATCATTGAAGCTGCTAATGCTAGGCAGCAAAGAGTTTCCGCCTGGAGGTGCGCAGAACCACGGCGCGAGGCTGGGAATGCCGTGCTTTCTGCACGCACAATGCGTGCGAGACGACTACAGCCAGATTGATTGGTTTTAAAAAGGGGCCCGCGGGCAGCTCCCAATAACTAAGAGGTCCGTGCGCATTCCTGACAGCGATGCAGCTAGTGTAAGGCGCGCGCGCGTGCGCGCGCGCTCGCGCGCGTCTGCTGTTCTGCAACTGAGTTCTTGATTCAAAAGCGCTTGTGTTTTGAATCGCACCGAGTTCGTAGACGTCGTAGGATCCTTGTTTGCCCATTTAGCTGAAGTATAAGCCAGTCTGTATGTCGAACCGAATATGAGTCCACATAAGTCCTTGAATTAGGTTTTGCAACTTCGCCCTTTTGGGGTGGAGCCCAGGTGGCGCTCTGAACGTCGAAGCGAAACACACTGAGGGGTCTTAGGCTGGAGCTTCACATCGGCAGCCATGTGCCAAAATCAAGGTCCGCGCAACCGACGCCATAGGACAAACCCAACACCCCGAAACTGCGAAGCACCGCGAAGCATTCAACACCCGAGCGCCCCATGAACCCAGATGTCAGGTCTTGGAAGTCTCTTGGACCTCGAGGGCGACATCAACTGCGACGAAGGGTATTTCGGGTGCCGGCTAAGAATCGTGTTTCTTTTGGTGGTGGGCTCTTGGCCCTGAATTTTTGTGGTGTGACTATGCCCTAGTATCAGTGTCCACTTCTGTTTTGTCTTTGTCCGGGCAGAAGCCCGGCCTTGAATCAAAGTCTTATAAACAGGGGCATCCCGAAACGTCCCTAGCCGTCGCCCCTGTTGGACCGAGGAATGTGGCAGGTCTCGTCCTGAGCAAGATCAGCTTCAGCCAGGGCCTGATCGTCGGAAACTGCGTGGTCGGAGCCGTCGATGCCGACTCCAAAACGGCCCCGAAGACCGTGGATCTGAGCTTCCAGATCCAGCGGCTCAGAGCTGCTAATACTTACTAGGCAGTGCTTTCTACACAGAGAGACTTGTCTTGCCTCCAGCTTTCAGCTCTCCCGAGGAACAGTCTCTACAAGAAGTGCTTGGTCATAGGTCCTTGTGGCGCCGGTGTTGACATTGCAGTTCCTTGCATCCAGAGCGGGCTCCAGGTCGCTTGGATCAGCTTCTGGGATCTGCCTACCACGGATTTGGGTACTGTACGTCGTGACAGAAAATCCAACAGGGCCCGAGGATTGCCGAGAAGTGCCAGCTCATGAAGCTTTAGCCCAGGCTCTTGAAACATCGACTTTCCAAGCTCTGTTGTCTGTTTTCCCCTCCAAAGTTTCAGGGCAAGGCAGGTTCGAACAAGCAGTCTTAAGGGTATGTGCCTGTTCTTCTGCTCGGAGCCTTTCCGAGGCCTGCGATGGAGGTCCAGCTCAGTCCTTTGTTCGGGGGCCACTCGTCGAATCCGATGCGCCTTCTTATCGGGAAATGTACAAGCTGCGGAACGGCGGGAAGAACGTGGAGCTTGCATTTCAGCTCATTGACTACAGTACAGTAGCATGGCAGCTGCCCGACAGCGGCCTGTACGAGAACCGCTTTGCGATCAAGGAGGAAAAAAGAGTTGGCAGCTCTGTGCAAGCGAACTACGTGTCTCTTGAGGCCATCAAAGGCGGAGGAGACATCCGCGGTCAGCGAGAGTTCTTCCCATATTTCAACTCCAAACCGGCCAACTCGGGTGACTCTTTTGTGTGGACGATGTCTACGACACTGTCAGACACAGAATTCGAACTGGATTGCGGAGCTGGTTTCGTGCTCCAACAGTTCTTGAAGCTCCAAGTTCAGGTTCGATACTCTTGTGTTCGCCTGGCGAGCCTCGGTGCTTGCGCTGAGCAAACCTCCGTTCAACAGATCATTGGCAACACTGCTGCCCGGATTGACATGGATTGCGGCAGTGATCGTAGCATTCAAGCGATCTTCGGAGAGTACGATGCTGCTGGAAAGTGGGCTCGCTTCCGCTTTCGTTGCTGTCAAATCGCGGCCAACCCGATCCTTTTTCGGAGAACCTCTGACGGTTGGGTCGATTCGGAGCTCAGAGATGGGGAGCTCGGCATCTATGCACCGGTTGGAATTGATGACTTTGGCCGCCGCTTGAATCGCAAGGCCTATAACCTTTAGACTCGCTAAACCAGGCACCTGCTCTGTAAGGGGGCTGGAACAGTGAATACAGCTATGCATTTTCCGAAACTCAGGAAATCTTTCCGCCTGTACTGAATTTTGTTTTCGGGAGGATCTTTATTTGTACTCCTCTTTGGGGGGCGCACCCTTACTGTAATGGATGCCCATGACCACTTGAGATCCGAGGACCACAGTTTGACATGGAGCTGAGCTTCTGCAAGGCGTTAGATCAAGAAGGGTATAGTTGCCTGTAACACTCCTGCGACATTTTGCTCTAGTTCGTCCCAAGCCACGGTAAAGGCCCATTGCTTCTTCACCCTGAAGGCCCCGTAAACCCTAAACCCTGCAATCCTCATACAGCCCCCGGTGCCTGAATACTCAATTCGATACTTTGTATTCCCATTGTCCCATTGTTGTGCCGATGATCTCCCGAGCTGCAGTGTTAGAAATCCCTGTTTATTGCGGTGGATGGGGATCTCATGTGTGCATACAGCAGCTTCTCCCAGTCTTGGTTTCACTCAGAAGACCACGAACCACATGCCTCGCCTGGAGTGTCCGAGTGTGAGCGCCGAAACCCTAAAGGCCCTAAACCCGATAATGACCCCAAGTGGCCCAAGCCCCCTTCGCCTGAGTCCTGCGGCTTTCGAACGACCTACTCGTTCGAGCATAATGCTGACAAGGGTGAGTGGTGCGCTTCTCGAAGGAGAGCTGCGGGTTCCGGATTTAGAGATAAAGGGTAGGCAGTTTCGTGGAGGCATTAGAGGCGGGACCAGGATTCGAGGGTTTAGGGGATTGAAGCTGCAACATGTCTCAACTACAGGAGGTCTGCATCTACCTGTGTCTCCAGCGACTTGGTCCATCCGCTGGATGAACAGCTCGGCGGAGACAGCTGGCAGGCAGGATTGCCATGTCTGTAATCTTCGTGCCGAAAAGTGCTGCAGGGCTTTACACCGTAAGCGTTCAGCCCATAGCCCGAAACTGCCGAAACTTGAGGAAGTGCTTTCCTCCCGTCAGGCCGTCCCGGTAGACAGCTTCGATGCAAGCTCTCAAGGTGGCGGAGGAGCACGCCTTCCCAGAAGGCACCTGACTGTAGTAACCTGTATGTCGTAACAACGAGCGGAAGTCTGCTGCGACGCATTCCTGGTTCAAGGGCATAGAATAGAATCGCATGGCAGCGGGAAGTCGCATGCCAGAAGGTGTTGCCTCAAATTTGGCTTGCCGAACCGAGTGCAGGTATCTGCACATGCCGCGCATGCGGCAATCAACGGACAGTACGTGTGCGGTCCTTAACAGCAAAGCTCGGGAGGCCAACGGCACGGAGCCCTAAACAAAAAACACTTCATCCCTAATCGTCCCCACTGGTCTGTTGAACAGAAGGCCAGCATGGACCCCAAACAGGGAAGAACACCTGGCAGTCCCAGTCCTGCACAAGAACCGTGGAGCACCCTCTGGGCTCCCCAGTTCACCCCTGTCCAAAATGAGCACTACGCCCCCCGCCTCCAAAGATGCGTGGAACTGTGGTGGGCGCTCGATATTTAGAGGAAAACGACCCCTGCGGGACCGTGGCGATAAAAGGAGTCGCACCACAATGCGCACTCCAAACTAAGGACACGATCGCAGTAGCAAATCCGCTCCACCACAATGAAAGATACAGACCCACTGCACACGGCGCAACGGTGCCTCGCATGGACAGCCATCTAACCCCTGTACTCTTAATGTAAAAGCTTCACGGCATTACGATGGTCCCACACTGTTTGTGAGACAGAAGCAATTGGAGCGATCCAGGTACACAGCGAAGCGGGCTCCACCACAATTGCGCTTCGAGTCGGAGGTGGGGGGGCTCTTCTTGCCTCATTTTTGCGAATTTAGCTTCGGGTTGGGCTCAGAGTTTAGCATGTGGCCCGCATTTCGGGTTTATGTTCAGGGTATTGGATTGTGATGCGCGTAAATAAGTGAGGATCCTGAGCTACAAAATCATTTGTGCTCCTGGGAAACGAATCCTCCTACTACTACTACTTACTATTACTACTACTACTACTACTACTACTACTACTGCTACTACTACTACTACTACTATCATTTTTATGATTACTACTACTACTACTACTACTACTGCTGATACTGCTACTACTACCACTACTACTGTA